AAATAGTTAGTTTACTATGGAAAATAGTTTTTGTACTATAAAAATTGTAAAACTACTATTTTTTTACCTGCAAAAGTTGTCCACTTACCATTTTAATAGTTACTTTGCTAAAATAAAAAGAAGTGATTAAAAAAACATTGATTTTAAATAAATTTATTATTATTTATTACTTTTAATTTAATAAGTACATATTTTTATGTGTTTTACTATTGTAAATTAAGACAAAGATATAAATATATATAAAATTTATACATGTATAGTTTCAAAAAAACTTTGGACGAATATACGTAATTCCATTAGGGGAAAGAGTTGTATTAAGAGGTGAATAATATAATTCAGAAAAGTCCAATAGATAAAATTGGTCTGTACTTTTTATAATTGGAAATGACTGAAAATGGTCTGAAAACATTGCAATTGTGTGTTCAACACATACGAAAATTACTTTGTTGTTTTCAAGTACAATAATGTCTTTGATTTCAAATAATTTCAAAGATTTTGACATCAGGAAATATCCAATTTTATAAGTAGTACCTTTTATTTCCACTTTTGTTATAAAATTGTAGCTTTCATTTATTAATATTTCGCATTCAAAAGAACTTATATTTACTTTTTTACTGTAATATCTGTTTTTAAATTTTTCTTTAGATTGGTTTTCGAAAAATAAGTTTCTATCTAATCCTTTATTCAAAAGTAACCGATTTGAAAACTTTATCATACATTTAACAGCGATTGACAAAGGTGCATTCCTTCTAGAGGTAATACAATTGGTATACGATTTAATCTCTCTATGCTTGGACTCGAACCTAAAACACCATACATGCTTAAGAGGTCCTACATTTTTTATGATTGTAGCGTAATGAAGTAGAAAGTGAAATTTCGGTTTTAACGTCGGGCCAAATAGTTGTACGTAAATCGTGTGATGGTTCTTAATTTTTAACTTTAATTTATTAAGGGACTCATCGTCGAACTCTGTTTTTAAAATCTCGTCTATAATTTCAATTAATGTACAAAAAAGTTTCCAATGTTTATTGTGTAGTGGTATTAAATCCCCAATTATTATTGGAAGAAAATGGCAAAATGTCCACATTTCTCGTGCTGACATATTAAGTTTTTGACATTTCAAATGTGATATTTGAATTTCTGGAGATCTATTACTTAACTCAATTTCACCGTATTGAAATTGATTTTTTCGATCATTTAAAATTTCAATTGTAAACAATTTTTCGGATTCAATAAAATGGAGTAATATTTTCGAAACGTCATATCGGCAAACACCTTCAAAAATATCTTGCATAATATCCCCGGTAAGATTATTTACCACATGAAATGAATTAATGTCATTGAAAATGGAATTCTCAGATATACCAGTTAACTTTATTCGCTTCTCTGGTATATCTTCTGTAGCAAGGTTTTCTGTATAGTTTAACTCATTCCGAAGTTTGCTCTCTATTTCCTCGACCATGTACGAAGTTTCTTCTTTATTGCATAAACAATATCGACAAAAGTAATTAGATGAAAAGCTTTTAGTGTAGCCGAGAATACTATTTAAACCTAAGTTATCACCCACAACTAGTGCTAGTACAAAATAAATTTTTTTGGTTGTATTATCAAAGCTAATGTCAATTCCCTCTTCTTCAAGACTTTTAATTTTTTCTACCAGTAATTTCAATGATGCGTCATTTCCAAACTGTTTATGTTTACTTCTGAAGAAAAGAGCAGGGAATATATTTTCTAGTCGCGATTGGTAGTGCTGCGGCAAAGTAGGGAAACTGTAATAAAAAGCAGCTATTGATTGTGTCCCTCTGTGGGAACCCAAAGGATTATTAATTTCAAAATCGTCAAAATAAATAACGTAAGGAATTGCTGTTTTATCGCTGAATAAACTCATTTTAGATTTCCATAATTTTCCATTACCAATGTTTTTTAATTCATTATCATTTGCAAGGAATTTCTGTGTATTTTCCAAAGTATCTTTTAATACATTAGGAAGTTCGAAGAAATGTTTAATTTGAAATCGTAATGGCATTAGTACACCCTTACTGTGTTGCTCTGTTAACGAAATTGCATGGTGATGAACTACGGGCGCAATTCTATTATCAATGTCGAATTCTTGTGGGTCTTCAAAGCACTTTCTCATTTTGAGTTCCTTTAAAAATTTGTAAAATGTTTTAGATTTTGAAAAGGGATCTCTTAAAAACGAAACTAAGTTTCTGAGTTGGACTTTTTCTTGTTCTGCAAAATCGAATATAATATTTTCTAAAAAGTGTGCTATTGGCAAAAGCAAATCATTTGTTATATCATCAATTAGTCGTTCTGCATCAGATCGAGCGAAATTTGACTGACTGTGCAATTTACTCAAAAATAGTAGCGCAATATTTTCGAACTCAGCATGAGAAAATTCGTATATTTCTTGACGTTCTTGATTACATTGCCGTTGGTTTAATTGTGGTGGAAAATTATTATTTTCGGATTCACTAAGACTCTGAACATTTGGAATTATATTAGAAATGCATGAATTCGCTTTCTTAAAGTGGCTTTTAAAAGTTCGCAAGCACTGATAATAATGACAGCAATGTAGACAGTAAAAAGTACTAGATGATGTTAAATTGTGAAAATTTTTTAGATGATTTACGAGTATATCAACATCTTCAAAATTGTTGTTGCATACAAAACACAAAACCATTTTAAACAAAAAAATAATAACTATTACATATATAATATTTAATAATAATTATTGAATATTGAAGGTGTTAAGATTTATGTGACTACGTATCTATACTTAATAAATTAAATTAAGTCCCTCAGCAAACAAAGGACATTTGGAGAAGTTTTATCTTCAGTCAATTCAATGGAATAAAAATATCTTTGGACAAACGTCCAAAACTCAATGCTATCCTGTGGATATTTTAAATGTAATACATGGAAAGTCTTAAAACATATGTCTAAAGCGCTTAAAAATGAAGGAAGCTCATACTTAATGTCGTCATAGTAAACATAAAATTTGCAATTACTTAAATCACTGCCAATTGCGATAATTAGTGGTTGCAATGTCTCACCGCGTGCATAGAGTGATTTTTTCAGATTATCCAATTTATTTTCGACATCGTTCACAGTACTAACTTGTAGTAAAAACGAGAGCTGAGAATCTTTGATAGTACTTCTAAAAATCGTTTTGTCACCTGCCTTCCGCTTTATATTAGGTCGTAGTACAACGTGCAGTAACAATGCTATAAGTTGATCTGAACCTTTAATAAAAGTATATTTATTATAAAAATCATTTAATCTTATTATTACCAATGTTAACAAACCTTTATCAATCTCATTAACTTTTTTCAAGTGCTGAAGATTTTGAATATCCTTTACCCTCTTATTCAAAATTGGTATAATTTTTGTTCTAAAACCTTGCCATTTCTCTGTTAGCTGTGAGCAATTCTGATGTAGAGCATTGAAGTCAATATCAATCTGCAATAAAGGAAAGCATTATTAAATTTTGAGTTTTAAATTCTGTAGCGACCATTTTTACAGCCAACCGACTAAAGAATAATATTGTGAAGGTTGGAGCTAGCTCAAACATTTTTCTAAGTTTTCCGATTTTTTTTGAAAGAGAAATGCAAAATGTATATATTTATTTTTTTGTATTTTATGGAAGAAATTGATCAACACCCTCTAAGCAAAAAAAGGAAAATTCAGGGAAATTTTTGAGCTACTTCCAACTTGCATATCTATTATTATATGAAAGTTGATTGGGTTTCACAGCAGTGGTTCGGTTCAAAACCCGATTCAGAACCGGTTTGCAGCCGTGCCTTTAAATATTGGGTCATATGATTAAAAAAGGTTTTTGTTTTTTCTCAAATTTTCACAAATTTGACATCAATTTGTATAAAGAAACTTTCAAAATTTGAGAAAAGGTTTTGAAAAAGCAATTGCTTTTTTTATTAATAGGACGCATTACTTTCATATATAATAGTATTTCAAGAGGAAGTTTTTGTATTTATTGGGTCATTTAATAAAAAAGAAAATGCGTTTTCGAAATATTTTCTCAAATTTTGAAAGTTTTTTCATACAAATTGATGTCAAATTTGAGAAAAATCATTTTTTTTTATTAATATGACCCATTTGATTGTAAATTCAAACTAGTCAACCAATTCTGACAAGTTTAAACGTAAAACTAAGAAATCCATTTACCAGATTGTATCCACATGAATGGGAAAAAAGTTTCCAGGCCCGTAAAGTTTTCGCTGATGTGCTACCACTTGAGTTCAAAATTTCTTGTCGTCTGATTTTGAAGGTTTTTTTCCAATTTGCTTCAACTGTGCTCCACGGCGAATCAAAAAGTTTGAGCCAGTCATAGGCAGCTGCATAAAAAAATATGAAATAATTACAAAACAAAAGCTATTGTGGTGGCGTTACATTTTTCATCCTCGAAAGTAAATGTATATTCTTCTGTCGGTGATGCCTCAGGAGTTGAACTTTCTGGGTCCACTAATTCACCGGATTTCCTCAATCTCTTCAATGTGTTGTAATATTTATCGTACAAGCGGCCTGCTGGTCTCAAGGTAATAGGATCTTTGTGGTAGTAAATCGACTGAAAATAGGTGAAAATTTAGAAAATAGTTTTGTAATGAATAAATAATTTACCTTGTCATCTTTAAACCTGTTTGCAATATCTTGCGCAATAGATTGGAATGTATTTCGGCATATTTTGATTTTTCTTTTAATAAACCACGACACAGTGGCATCAATTAAGATCTTCCTCCCAGCGTCATCTAGTTTGTCCAGTCGCAGAACATACTCGCCAGTTGGATGGGCACTTAACACTTGCTGCAAATCCTTAAAAATTGTAGGTTTTTAAAACTTGTTTAATGTTTTGTTGGGTTTGTGAGGTGCCTCATATATAAACTTACGAAGTCATGTGAAGATGAACTGGATGTTTGTGAGCATGAAGGAGATTCGATGCCATTGTTGATCCGCTGTCGCCACTGCTGCACAATGTCAACAAAACCAGAATTGGCGGACGCTGTATCGCACGTCGACACGCTACCATACCCCTGAAGGAATTTTGCAACAAAAAAGATTCTTCATGAAATGATCACAGAGGGATTCACAATACTTACGTTTGTTTTCCTCCAAGTTATGAGTTGATGGCGGAATTCCGCTCTAGCACCAATGGTGTCGTTTTTAAACAAATCAGCAAGGTCAGACTCCGTCAGATATTGCAAATTTTTCAAGGTTATTGCTTGCGCTGGAATTTCACTAAATTAACTAAAAACTACAACAATGACAATGTATTTGCAACTTACCTTTAAATTCAGCGATTTTATGTGAAAATCCCCACTCCAAAATCAATTTACAAAATTCCGTGTCTTCTGGATCAGGATTATCCATATCATCCGCCTCCACAGCACGCAAAATATTTAGCGAAAACAATTCACTATTGTTAAGATTCATCAACACTTAATTTTAATATATTAATTAATTTAATTTCACTTCACTGCACCTACGCAAATAACAACGTCCATGAAAAGTTTGCAAATGAATATGAAAGAAGAAAAGAAGAAGCAAAGCATCAAAAGTGCCGTTATTCTTATCGCATAAACTCTCTTTTCGGTTAGATTAACAATCAAAATAGTAGAGCTACAATTTTATTCGGTTAGTTTTACTATTTCTGTGGTTAAAAATAGTAACTTTACCATTTTGCAGGTTGGCCATACCAATTTTTTGTGGTTAAATTTATGTGCTACAATTCTAACGATTAGTTTAACTATTTTTGTGGTTATTCTCATCATGAAGAGGGAAGAAAGAGAGAAGAGAATTACGTGAAGACTATCTTTTCAGTTAGATTAACAATCAAGATAGTAGAGTTACAATTTTATCCGGTTAGTTTTACTATTTTTGTGGTTAAGAATAGTAACTTTACCATTTTGCAGGTTGGCCATACCATTTTTTGTAGTTAAATTTATGTTCTACAATTCTAACGATTAGTTTAACTATTTTTGCGGTTAAAAATTTCCAAATTCGTATAACAATTTTTCGTCGATTATATTAACAACCTGAATTGTACTTGTTGTTTGTGTTTTCAATGTAAAATAGAAAAATGGTTTATTTACAATCTTTTTCGGTTAGATTAACCTATCTTTTTTCTTTCTGTGCACATACTTTTTTTGGCCACATAAATTTAAAATTGCCCCTAGCCCTTTTTTAGCCCTTTGGAGAATTTATTCATACTTGGCATGAAAAAGTTGTATATTTGCTTAATTTAAACTAAGAAAGACTGATCCATATACATACTATATGTATTGTATGTTCTTTACGTTTTTATACATACATACTGTAGAAGTATTAGGGCTGTTAACTTATCTATTAACTATTTAACTATAGTTTAAAATAGATAAGTTTACGGCCCTTAATATGCTTAATTTGTTAAATGGCCCATCAAGTCGATTGACCGTGTATGTTCTTGTGATGTGATTGTACCAGCTGCTGCTGCGACTTCAAAAACTATTTGAAAATTTTATGATTGTACCAGCATGCTGGTGTCGTGAGTGGTGAAATTAGCTAAATTTTCTAAGTAAAAAATATTTTGGCGGAAATTTTTTGCACTATATGAGTCAAAGCCGTGTTTGTGGAAGATTAAGTTCTCGATATTGCAGTTGTGAATTAAAAAAAAAAAACAATGTTTAAGAAAATGGTAGAAAAATTATGAAATTTCGGCTCTAATCATTTCGATCTTTCCTCGACCTCATTTGTAAAGAAATAAATATTGTACCAGCATGCTGGTAAGTTATGTGCTTTGAGCCAATCACTTGATGGAGCCAGCAAGCGGGTGTCGTATATGTATTTCCCCTTTTATACAAAAAGGTTTTTGGTTGGATAAAATATTTGCTTTTGTCCAGAGTTCATTGTTTTTCTATGCCATTACTTATTGAAAATGTGTTCGTGTATAGTTTTAAAACATCGTTCACTCAAAATCGGTTCGCGTTCCAGCAATTTCTGTGCAGCAATTGTTGGAATGTATTAAAAAGTTGCAATGCAGATCGTTAGACAATAGATCTACCATTATGAGGTTTAAATTTCATAGTACTGGCTTTTTATTTGACAGTTTTATTCGCTTTGGAAGTTGCTGCTCAAAAAATAATGTTGAACAAATTCGTTGAAAATCCAACATTTTCGAGATCAAAAATCAAATTAAAATTAAATATACCAAAAACTTATAATTATCCCCCAAAAATCAATGAATAGATTCCTTCTGCTTAAACTAACGGGGTGAGCTAATCATTAAAAGACATCATTTCGCACCAGCTTAAGGCTCTTTACCTGAATTAGGAAAAAAAACGGCTTATCAGAAGAAGATCGTGCGAGAGAATTGGAAAACGGTTATCCGCTGTTCAGCGAATGCAAGCTATGGCAAGACTTAAACCTTATCGAGTTATAATATATAAAATTCTGTTAGATTAAATACATTTTATAACAAAAACCGCACCCGTTTACATTACCCCAATGTTCACACTAAGTGTGGTATTTTATAATAATGACTAATAAAACATTTTTAAAACTGGACTTCGGTCAACTCCCACGTTAAAAGTTGTAAGCTAAAAAGAAACAGGGTGATATCCTCTTACAACTAAATCTATAGAAGTTGACACAGTTGTCAAAAGGCTATGAAATGACAAGAGAATCGAGGCAGTCTCATTAAAACTCGATCAGACTCCACAATGGGTCATATGACCCCAGAAATATGCTGGAAGGAGCGCTTTCACAAAGTGTTATTTCATTGTATCATTTACTTTGGACCTTTTGTAAAGTGTTGGCGGGTTTTTATGAAAACTAATTATTCACAGGTAACTTTAAATCGGTTTGAAGCCAATGATGTGAATAAAGTTCTGGAAGTCATCAATTTACGAATATCACCTATTTAAGTCAAATCGAAAAATACATGGTATTTATTTAAAACAAAATTAGTAGAGATGTGCGAGCCGTGGAAAAACATAAACTAAAGATAGTTTAGTAGAGCAAGTTGACTACACAAGTCTCTAGAATGGGTGTTCAGAAAATTTTTATCATTATCAAATAAATTGTCTCTTATTTATTTATCCAAGCAAAATATGAAACTCTCGCTAACATGTATCTATAACGGAATGTTTTCTCTTTATTCTAACATATTAAATATTATTTTCTGAAAACCTATTAAAAAGATATAACCCGAACGATGCTTTATATGTATATGTAGTAAAAAATTTTAGTTACCATTTTTAGCCACAAGGAATTTTTTAGCCCTTTTTTTAAAGGAATTTGGCTACCACTAAAAATGATTCGCGGCAACACTGATGGAAACACTGCTTTATCAATCAAGAGTAAATTGTTGTTGTCACAATACAACGAATGTTCTTTATTTATGTGAATTTCTTTATTTTAGCTAGCTGTATAAATTGTATTAATAAATAATGGTTTTTGTAGGGATCAATTAAGATTGAAGTTAATTTAGGCGGTGCCTCAAAGCATAGCAATGGTTTCAAAGTAGCCCTCGGTACGAACTCGGTTGGACACGACTGCTCTAAACTGCCCACAATATGTAGCTGTGGATATGGTGTATTATTTCTGATGTACCTGATGTAGCTAGCGAAATAGCTTGTGGCTGTGGTACCACATTCTGTTTAGCCAGTAAAGTATCCATATTAGGGTGCCCTTTTTCGGTGACTTTGTTTTTTTTTTACTCCCATCTCAAAATTTGTTTGAGATATGCCTAAAACCAAGTTCCCCGAAAATTTGAGCCCTTAATATTAACATAAAGTGCTCGACCAAGGCGTGCGGGTCACTAAACCCAATATTTTCATGAAATTCCATTTTTTTGCCCCTATATCTTAAATAACAAGAGCTACAGAAAACATGTAAATGACAAACTGCTTTGCGTTGGCATGTGATTATATGTCGAACGCTCATGAGAGGGATGTCAGAAAAGTATTTATGCTTCTACACCACATCAAAAAATTAAAAGTATTGTTCATAAGGAAGCCTTAAATTAAATTAAATTAAAACAAATTAATTAAATTAAACAAGAAAAATAGTGAAAATTAGACTGTATTAGTTTTAGGTTCGGAAATCCGGATATCCCGTTCGAATTCCCAGCCCTAGTGTCAATATTTATGGTAGGGCATTGCGACGTCTACAACAGATGCCTTGTAAAGGAGCTCAAATTCGGTGTTGAATTGGTAGTGGGAGAAATACTCCCTCGCGCAGTACGGTCGATCACCCCGGTGGACGAGCATTTAGGCATAATCTGCATCAAAGCGTGCTTCTTCAACATCTCACTCATTTACGCCACTCCCCAACGGAAGAGAAGGACGAAGCATCCAAGGATCTCTTATATAAGCCACTCTTTTCTAAGTCGGACGGATTTCGTAAAATTATTATGTCATGTCTCCGATTCGCTTCAATTTTTTTTATGGGTTCTATACATGAAATAAGCTAACACTTGTTCGAGGAATTTTTTTTCTTCGGAGATATGATCTGTCAAAGTGTGCATTTTTTCGTGATTCTGGCTAATCATGTACTTCTTCAAATCGTTATATCTCGGGTTCGCGCAGACTTCATCTTAACGTCATTTTAAAGCTAAAGAAACGCGCTTAACATTTCTATATACAATATGGTCAAAATTGTCCTAAAGCTAACTTAGCTATTAACATCTGAACTTTTTGAAGTTGATTTGCATAGTGAAGAAGAATTAGGGATTTAAAATTATACCATCGTAATCCTTATTTAATTCTCTATAAAAAACGTGGTTAAAAAAAAATGGGGGTTTTCAAGAACTATTTTTAAAATATTTTTCTTTTTGACGAGATGGTTTATTTTGTGAGAATCAACAATGTTTGTAATTAGTTTTCGAAAACTTATGTTGATATATATTTAGTAAGGTGTTAAACAGCGGGTTTTTGCAAAAAGTAAAACTTTATTGCGGATTCCGATAGAATACCTATCCAGAAATAATATTTGTACGGCAAGTTTTTTTTGTAAGGTGACAAACCCCTAGAAATGGGCGTGGCAATTGCAGGACTAAAGTTAGCAAAACACAGATTTTATTTCGGATTTCGGCAGAATATCGCTTAGTTAATAACATTTGTTCCACAACTTTTTCAGTCCATAAAAAAAAAAATTGAAGCCAATCGGAAGTGTGACACCAAATTTGGTGTCCGATATGAAAAAGAATGTCTCATATGCGCGCACATACGACCGCTGCCCCCATCACGATATCAAAATCGTGCTTGGCGATTTCTACCACCGTTGGAAAATTCAGCCTCCACGACAAATTCTCTGATAACGGACTGAGGCTGATCACCTTTACCGGGGCCCGAAACATGGTAGGATGTAGTATTAAGTTCGGTATAAAGAGAACCTTCAAGCTGCATGGCTGTCTCCAGATCGAAAAACGATAACGCAATCGGAAGACACGCTTCCAGTATTTTAGACGTGCGCACACTCCGGGGGCCACACCTAGACTCGGACGTCTCTGTGCAGCAAAAAATGTACGGCCAACAATGCAAGGAAAGCTTAACGTCGAAAACCTGCAATCACAACAAACCGCTGATTAATTCGCCACCCTACTCTCAGTGATCACTATTCAAGGAATCGATATATGCGAGCAGTGGAACCACATTTCCCGCTGAAGAATTTGTGGGATTTCAGCGAGCTCTAAAGTAGTGGTGCAATACTACCGATGGTACCATCGATAGCATCGATAGTTTTAATTTTCCAACACTTCCGATGGTTTTTAAAAACTATGGATAGTTAATTTACTTAGAGTTAATTCCGTTACTGTCCGTTCTCTGGAACATTCGAAGCGCAGGTAATATCCGTCCAAATATTCTTTTGTAAAAATAATAAATTTTGTGCAATTTTGGGTATTTTTCTGTGCACCGTGAGAGCGTTTTGCAAGACGCAAGAGAAGAATGAGCTACATATTAAATCAAAATTAACGGAAAAGATTTTGAATGGAAAACATTTTAAATGTTGTACAAAAAAAAAAAAAAAAATAACGAATACTTCTGTGAGTGATTGTACATATATTTCTACATTCGCTGATTTTTTTTTTTGACGCATACACTTACATCTACACTTAACGTGCATTGAAAAACAAGAAATTTTGATTTCATCGATAACTATTCATAAGCGCACACAAATTTTTTCGCTTACAAAGTTTGTTACATGCAAATTTTAAGCGCAGTTACGTATGTGTGTAAAAAAACACGATTCATTTTTGAAAGAACCGAGTATATAAATACATATATCTATTTGAATTAAATATATTGTGACTCAATTGAATAAAATTCTTTTAAATTCGTTCAAAATGAATTATCATTAACACTTTATTTATTATTATTTTTTAACGATAATATCGCGATAGTATTGATAGTTTTCCGGGAAATTGCTCAACGATTGATAGTTTGACATTAATGATATTATCGCGATTGTATCGATAGTCGTTCCCGAAATTGCGAAAACTATCGATGGTGTGACTACCGATAGTTTCCCACTTCTACTCTAAAGAACAGTTGGTACGATGATGGTCGTCGCGGTGCTGCACAGAAAAAAGATGCCGCCGCAGGATCATGCTGCGATAAGGTGTAACGCGAGCTATGTAGCACCTATAGCTGAAAAAGGAAGAGATAGAGGTTGAACTACGAGAGTGCAAAAAGCTCGAAATCCTGGACAATAGAAAAAACACCCAAAAAGTACAAGTAGCCTACACGTCTCACCGGAGTACACCCGAGCAACATAACTTCAACACCCCCACACAAGCAGCCCTTGATTCCTCACACATTCTGCTGCACTGGTCCAGGATATATCGCTATGTGACATTTGTTCAAAGTATCGTCTGCCGTGGCTGGTGTCACTTCAAACTATATTCTCGGCTGCACCGTGCAGTATCGTCTCATCGAAGAAGACATCGGCCGTGGGGATACCATTCTAGAATTTCAGTGCATTGCTATCCTGTCAGGCGATGTCGAGCGTTAACGTTTATATACCCCCTGTCACCAGCTGCCCGTCTAGAGATCACCCTGATATATGTAGGTGCGCTCCTCAGCCTGCCCATAATCGTTCTGCCGAACCGAACCTACTTCAACTTTAACAAAGATGATTATGATTGCAACGGCTTTGCAGAAATTACCAAGAGCACCTTCGCCGCCGGAAATCGCCGTATCAAGGATCTCAATCTATAGATTCGGCAACTGGTAGCCCAACACAAGCGGAAGAAGTGGGAGCAGCACCTAAATACTTCGAATTTCGCCTTTGGTGGGAGCAAGCTTTGGTCAACTGTACGGCCATTGTTAAACTCGACGAAGCGCGATGAGGGAGTGGCATTCGGTGGTGCCTCGGCGGAGCGGAGCCATGCGAGAGCCATTTTAACCGGCTGTTCATTCTGCATCTCCCGGTGGACAAAGCCAACCGTTCAGTGGCCAGAAGGCTGCGCTAACTACCAACACCTTGAGATTTGTTGTACAATTAAGGCTTTAAAGAAGGGAAATCTAGTTTTTTTAAGTAAAGCATAAGGCATGGGTTCCATATATGTAAGTATTGGGCGTAATTTTAACCCAGTCACCCTATTTTTATTTTTTTTCTCCAGCTTTTTGGTTGACGGAGTCAATGGTTACACACATAATTAAACTATTCTAAGAGCAGTGGAAAGATACAAAACCTTCCGCTTTTCAACGAACATAAGGTTATCAGAATCCGCGGAAAACTGTCCTACTTACAGCATATATCTGAGCTTGTGGGAATCAGAGAAGTTTCTTTTTAATTTCGTTTTGATGAATGATTAATTTTGAAAAAAGCGAACATGAAGAAAACACCTTGATTATTTTAAGTTTTATTCCACTTTTTATCAAACTACACGAAAATTATGTACTATTTTGATTTACTTGAATTGGCGTACCATTCATTTAAAATCTAATATATAATACTTTTAGTATGGGATACTACACCCTTAATTCCAATGTATGGAAAAAACCCTTATCCGGTAGACAATTCTAGAGGTGCTTTGAAAAATCAAGGACATCTCGCTGCTTACCATTTTAATCGCCGGAAAGAACAACTGCCAATCATCACATGGATTATCTGACACGCAAACATTGCAAAACATCCATTTCCAAATATTTCCATTAAGTTTAGGTCCTGTGAGTAGAACATACTCTGAAAAAAATACGACTTTGCTTTGATATCCTCGTTTTTACAGCTCCTGTAGTGCGAATCGGTGCGCAATTTTGATACCATATTCAAGAAGAAGATGCGAAAATATGCGACTAATGCTAAAAAAATTTCCTTAATACTTGTTTTGCATGAATTATTCGTAATTTTGAAAACTTGAAATATTATCTCAACTGCTTTGGACTACGAAATCGCATTTCAGAACGCCATACTCTCTTCTAGATCATGGAGGATAAACAAACGACTTTCGTCCTTGCGAAATCGTGACAAGTATTAGTAAATTCGTTGAAGCCATCAAAATTTAACTTTTCGCCAGAGAACTCCACAATTTTGTAGTTGTCCTCTCAGGCATGCGTATTGTACAAAATTCCAATAATGATTTTAAACGTATAGTAAAATTGATGTCGTTTTTTGACATTTTCTGAATACAAGTATATAGAGTAATCCGTAGTTTCCTTGTGGTGTCATCAACACCAACGTTTCTCTTTCATTTTGGTCCACTATCTCGACAATAAGATGCTAGCTTTTGTGTTATGGCTCCATTTCATGCTTTTTTCATGCTTCAGCTATCAAAAACACTTNGCGAATCGGTGCGCAATTTTGATACCATATTCAAGAAGAAGATGCGAAAATATGCGACTAATGCTAAAAAAATTTCCTTAATACTGGTTTTGCATGAATTATTCGTAATTTTGAAAACTTGAAATATTATCTCAACTGCTTTGGACTACGAAATCGCAGTTCAGAACGCCATACTCTCTTCTAGATCATGGAGGATAAACAAACGACTTTCGTCCTTGCGAAATCGTGACAAGTATTAGTAAATTCGTTGAAGCCATCAAAATTTAACTTTTCGCCAGAGAACTCCACAATTTTGTAGTTGTCCTCTCAGGCATGCGTATTGTACAAAATTCCAATAATGATTTTAAACGTATAGTAAAATTGATGTCGTTTTTTGACATTTTCTGAATACAAGTATATAGAGTAATCCGTAGTTTCCTTGTGGTGTCATCAACACCAACGTTTCTCTTTCATTTTGGTCCACTATCTCGACAATAAGATGCTAGCTTTTGTGTTATGGCTCCATTTCATGCTTTTTTCATGCTTCAGCTATCAAAAACACTTGCATTTGCTTCAGTTTTATTTTCAACAAATCGCCTGCCAAGTCCAGGTTCCGTGAAGCCTTCCTTTTGTGCATTTTTTGCAGTTGAAAGTGCGCCTGCTTCGCCCATTCTTGCTCTGTTATACACCTAATTATCTTTTAAATTCTTAAAAAGGTTTTAAGTACAATTTTAATAACTTTGTTATACTCATAAGGAGGCTACGCATCCTTGTACCTATTCAAGTGAATCAAAATAATACGCATAATTTTCGTGTAGTTTGACAAAAAATTGAAATAAAATCAAAGTATCAAGTTGTTTTCTTCATTTTCATCGCTTTTCTTCAAAATTGATCATTCTTCAAAACGAGATTAAAAAGATACTTCTCTGATGACCACAAGTCCAGATATAACCTTGGATCTTGAAAAAAATATGTGTATCTATTCAAGTGAATGAGGCCGTATGACCAGTGTTGACCCAACATCCCGATTTTAAGTTTTTTGATCTTAAAATATTTTGGGGGTGAAAGTATTTTTAAGACCTGTCCTATCCCCTCCACTAAATGACATAAAAAGTTCATGCAACCGGTTTTTTTTTGTAGCACAGTGTAATTTATATTTTTATAAATGAATCATTAATTATTCGAAAAACTAAATGCGCAGTTATTATTTTACATGTCGAAGACTTGATTTTGAAACTTTACTTTTTACTTTAAAAGAGCGTAAAAAAGCAATAGAAAAGCAACCAATAATAGCGCCGAAGTTGTTTTCGGTGTTGTTTGTTTGTGAATAGTACTGCATTTACAAAAACAAGCTGTATATAATCTGGTAAATTAACCAAAGAGTAAAAGTGGAACATCATGTCGAACTTATTCGCTGAGCGGCAGTGTTTTTGCTTTATGTGCTATTGCTATGGTTTGATTAGTTTGTGCGCTGATTGTTCTGTGAGACCTGACTTTATCCGGCTGGGTTGAAAATAACGAATTTACTAAAAGATGGTCATAACTCAAAAAAACGGCATTTTTGAGAGGTTATGCAGAGTTACTCCTTAAAACTTGCTTCATATTAGATGTTTTCGATACGCCTATGTAGTTGGCGAATCGAACGGACGTTCATTTAAATCCGAAGAAAGCCCTAACGAGCTAAGCAGGTTTGCTTCGCGTCCGCTCGCTAGCTTTTCTGTTGCTTCCCCATACAATTTTTTCCTCAAGCTAGAAGGAAGAGAAAAAACGAGAGGAAAAAGGCTACTGTTTAAAAATTTCCATGCTAAAAAATTAGGGGTATTCTTGAAACCAAAAGACAGACTTTTGCTGCTTGCTACCTTTGAAATGGGGTGTTCTCGTACTCTTGCAAATTTGGAATAGTATTTTTGCATTTCGTGCAATCCGTGCAACGTGCAATACTTCGAGAATACCTAGCTAAGTGTCAATACGTGGTGACCAGCGAGTGAGCTGTGACAATCTTTTAGTAAATAAACGATATTTCTGTATGTGCTAAGCCGTTTGATTTAAATACATATGTGATTATACCTGTTTTTATAGCTTTAATTTCTGTTTTGTGATAATGTTTAACTGATGAAATTTTCTAATTGACCAACGTATCTTAGGTAACCACAACCACTACAAAAAAAAAAAGTAATAAAAAACGAGCAATGCATTTATAAAATTTATATTTAGATTAACTTTTATTTTTTTCTGTCATTTCCTTTTCACACCGATTTTTAATATTTTGGTTTAAAAATTCTTACATACTTCAAGTTTTCTAAGTAGCTTAATATGCCTCTTTTAATTATCTTGTATACAATATTAGGTTATCATACCTTCGATATGGTGGCCAGGATATCCATCAATAATGGGGAGCAGCAACACTTCACAGAAGTTTCCACACAGAGTGATACAGGCGTCATACAGCGTATTTGAACCCTCTCCACGTAACTCTGAACAATGTGAACCAAAAGTCCAAATTCAACCCTTGACAACGTTCGCTCATATCCCACTTGTTGCTGCTATGGTACCATTCAAAGAAATTCGCATTGACGACCAACTTACGTTTCTTCTGCCACAAAATGCATTGTATCCTATGTCAAAAATTTATGTACCAGTCGTTTTTCACTCAACACAAGGTTCGACTGTATCAGCAATTACTGTACGAGCGCGTGTAAAGTCAGGTGTAAAAATTTTGGGTGCTACGACATCGACCGATTTTTGGAGTATATCAATTGAGAAGGAAAATCAAAAACATACTACAGCTAGAGTTACAGCATTTAGAAAAGAATCAGAAGTACCTGCTGAGATTAACAGTGACACGAAAAACTCAAGCTTCGAGAACAGGTGATGAAACAATATATTATTTTGTGAAAAAGTTCACAAACTATTAATAACTTTGACTTTATTCATATGACGTTAATTCTTTATGAAATATATTTTTCATAATTTACATAAATCAATCTAAGCGCGTAAATAAATGCCTCGTAACCACGGAAAGCTCGTATACTTACTTAATTTTGTATGGAAAACCGGTTTATTTACGAGGCATTTACGCGTTTAGATGAGTACCCATATTCTAACTTTTTAATGGTGAAACACAATTTTCATAAATTATAGGGCCAGTATTGCAGATATTCGTAGATTATTAAATCCATCCCATTTATTGCAGATAAAAAATTGGAAGATATTACATTCTTCCTTATCCTGAGTTTCGCCCGAAAATAAGTTAATCCGAAAATTTTTATTCCCCCCATAGTAAATACATGAAAACCAAAACCAACCGGTTCGGGGAAAATTAAACTCATGATAAGGCTGAATGTTATAATTTGACGCTCCATCAACAATATCTCTTGCAAAAAATTATTTAAATACAAAATAAAAACACGTATTTTGTATTTGTATTTTAAATACTTGTATTTGAAATAGTTAACATCTCTGGTTAGCAGTACCTATTTTATCCCCCCTTTCTTCTTTGAGCGCATGCTTATCCATTTCCCAATATATAATCTACACCAATCAAGTGCGGCTGATTTGCCGCTAATTAAACTTTAAATAATTTATACGTTAGAGAAAAGTGTCAGCTAAACATATTTCTCTCTATAAAAAGGTTTGGTATGTATATGTATAACTGCAATTCAACTGCCCTGTAGGATCTTGGAATAGACTTAGAGCACACCACAAACTAGACTGCAAGTGATTGTAAGTAGTCCAAAGTTTGGTCCAACAGCATGTAAAATTCTATTTACATTTAACATTGATCCTAGGCTCGGACCAATTGTCCGCTTCTGCATTACATTGTAACCAATTTTGGGGGGAAAAAACAAAAATAAAACTTGCGCCAGCTGCGATTCGAACCGGGGTTCTCAGATTTTCTAAGCGGATACTCTCTGCATGCAACGTCGCACATGAAAATTTGTTGACTAAGTGCCTACATATCAGCAAGTCGTTAATTGTACCCGTTGTCCGCTACTGCATGACATTGTAACCAGTTTTATGGGCTGTTTTTGCTTACGCGTAAAAGCACATTTAGCTCTAAATGCTACTCTAAATGTACATTTATCCATACAAAACTCGTCTCCTAAATGCAACTAAATGCAACTCCATTTTTGCATTAAGAATCTAAATGCTAAAAGCAACCCTGTGATCTTCCAAAATTTCCACGATTCGTACATGGCTTAATGAGAAAAGGTGGCAACATTGCTTTTTCGCGTATACAGTGGCTAGCTGCATTTCAGTGATCGCCGATCGAGATTTCATTTATTATTTTACATTATTTGGATAAACAAAAGTTACGCAAATTCAACATCGATGTGATGCTGATAGAAATCTGGATCAATTTGTGATCAACTTTGTTTGTTTTGTTTCCTAATTAAGTGAGTAAATTTTAATTGATAGCACCGACAAATGAATATATACACAAACAAATTTTCGGTTGTGGTTAAAACAATTCAAGTTTTTGTATTGAATTTTTGGTTTAAAATTTATGTTTTTCTTTTCAGTAGGGTTTTTTGCACATTATCTTCTGCGTGAGAATTGATCGTAATAGACACGGGTCTGAATAGGCGACTGGAACACGGCTGTTTGTCAAAAGCATACGATTTCGAACTCGCGTAAATGTACATTTGCTAAATGCGATAGCATGAACGCTCTTCGAAAAAATATGTTCGAAAGTGCTAAATGTTGCATTTTAAATGCAGCAAAAACACTGCATTAGATCAAAGCTCATACCTTATGCATTACATTCGGACCACTTTTAGTACAATACACCTGTTTTACATTACATTGTTTTATATTTTTGGACTATCTTTGGTCTAGATACAAAGCTACTATACCTACGACTATATTTTTCGAGCAATTGGACCAATCTTTCCTTCAGGGTATTTATTACCAAACCATGTATTGAGGGAAATACATTTTGTTGACTTATAACTGTAGGTCCCTCCCATTTGTGAGACAACATCAAGGCGCACGCCACAAATCGCAGGAGAAGCTCGGCCAAGCACTAGCAAATATGTAACCGCCAAATATATATTTTATTTTTAACTAACCTCCTTTCTCAGTTAAGGACTATTTTTTCGTGCGTGGTTATGTCTGGTTGATTTGTTCAATTTATTTATATCTTTAGAGTGGGCCGACACTTTATGGATGGTAGCTATCATATATAGCCACGAATATTTTTTAATTATTATATACGCTGTTTCGTGGCAGTATTGCTAAAATTGTTCCGATTGTAATGGCAGTTGGCAAGACAAGGAAATTTAGAATTATATTTATGTGGAATATTAAGTCTACATATACTACAGTGATTTCTGAAAATACAATGCGGCGTATTGTGCAAATTTGCCTTAGATTTGCATTTGTATTAGCATTTGCAAATGTTATGCTTGCAATCACGAATTTACAAATGCACTCAAATATGCAAATGCAATATCATATGTACAAGATCCTGAACAGCTCTAATGTGTTTTTTGCAATGCCGATAAACTTATACCGTTACAATTACATATGTACTTATTAGGGGAATTCTCTTAGTCTTTCAATATTGCGCGATAGCACGAAATGCATAAATCCTATACCAAAATATGCTAGAGCACGAGAATACCCCATGGCTAAGTTGTAGCATACATAGCAGGGATGCAAATTGGGAGAGAATTCCCCCATTTTCGTGGAATTGGACCTTTACGGGGGAATTGGGGAATGACTGAAAATTACTTTAATTATGTTATACATATCGCTCAATTACTTCGATAGTGTCATAATCCCGAAAATAAAAATAAAATAGAAAAATAAAAATTTTGAGTTGAGTATGCAGAAATCACCCTCTTCTTGTGTAAAAATTTTACAGCTGTATTGATAACGAGTATCTCAGTAGAATAAAATACGTATTTATTTTACTATATGTACTATATAACGTTGGCTTAGTGGCAATTTCAAAATAAAGCTGTTGCAGACTTATAGGCTCTTTTGCGACTTACCACATTTTCTCTTTATGACTTATGTGGACTTTTAATGTGGACTTAGCACATTTCCTATCAACCTGTTTTTCATTGTTTTTTATTGTTAAAAGATTTGGTTGTTTGTTTTAAATATATTTTATTGTTTTAAAATGAATAATAATCTAACACAGTCTTATTTCATTGCTGTTAAAAAAATAACTATTTAAGTCGTAAATTTATTTACCATTTATAAAGGAAAATAATTATAATAATTAAAAACAAATAAAGAAGTATAAGTTTGGGCGAAACCCAACTTTATATACCAGGCGCAAGTATCAAATATTGTCGTTTCAACTTTCTCTAAACTACCTTTGCATGATAAGCGGCGGTGTTTTCCCCGATTTCGAACGTTTTCGATAATATCGAAATATTTCGAATTAGACTTAATGATATAATTCAACCAAGTTTGGTAGAAATCGCTAAAGTGGTTACCGAGACACACCTTTGTAGTCATAAAGTTGGCGGTGCGGTGCCATGCCCAATTCCTAAATGTTGATAGCAGTCTTATTTATTGTTAAGTATACCCTTGGAGTAAATTAGCGTTCTCAGTTATTGAAATATCAGAGTTTCCGTATTTCTGAAATTAACCGTTAGATATATAGGAAGCGGGTGTAATTTTGGTCCGATTTGAATAGTTTTCAACGAATTACTGTTCCGTACCAAGTGCACCGAGTTTGGTAGAAATTGATAAATTATTTCCGAGTTACACACAGATTTCTTAGGTAAACCCTAAGCAAGGCTCGTACCGAGTTTAGTAAGGATTGGTGAATGGGCTACTGAGATACAGAGTTTCATCGTAAGTGGCGGGGTCACGCCCGATTTCCAAAAATTTCATAAGAATAATTTTTTACCAAAATTCCACTTCACATACTAATTTTCATTTGTATCCAATATTTAGTGAAATATCGTAGTTCTTGCATTTTCCGAAAATATGGGAAATATGGGAAGTGGGCGTGGTTACAGTCCGATCTAGCCCCTTTTCAATACCACCTACGTTGGATAAAAGGCAACCTATATACCAAATTTCGTTGAGATATCTAAATTTTTGCTCGAGTTTTCGTGTACACGGACACACGTGTTTATATTTTTTTCTTGATTTTTCTTTTTCGACTTAGCACATTTGCATACCACTGCACAACAACAGGCAAGAACGACATTACGGTAATTTTTTTTTTGTTGTAATAATTTATTTTGAGTTGTGCTATCTTACTGCATTAAAATCTCAATTTTAATAAAAGTGGACTTGATATGTAGATTCAAAACTTTAAAGCCGTTTTTCTGGAGTTTTGCTTTTTTGAGTTGATACACTATTGAATTAACTAAATGAGCGATATGTAAATTATTCTTCTTCTTTTTATTTGGCGTTGTAACCGCCTAAGCGATTTTGGCNATTACGGTAATTTTTTTTTTGTTGTAATAATTTATTTTGAGTTGTGCTATCTTACTGCATTAAAATCTCAATTTTCATAAAAAGTGGACTTGATATGTAGATTCAAAACTTTAAAGCCGTTTTTCTGGANCACGTGTTTATATTTTTTTCTTGATTTTTCTTTTTCGACTTAGCACATTTGCATACCACTGCACAACAACAGGCAAGAACGACATTACGGTAATTTTTTTTTTGTTGTAATAATTTATTTTGAGTTGTGCTATCTTACTGCATTAAAATCTCAATTTTCATAAAAAGTGGACTTGATATGTAGATTCAAAACTTTAAAGCCGTTTTTCTGGAGTTTTGCTTTTTTGAGTTGATACACTATTGAATTAACTAAATGAGCGATATGTAAATTATTCTTCTTCTTTTTATTTGGCGTTGTAACCGCCTAAGCGATTTTGGCCCAGTTCAAC